ATTAGAATCATACAACAGTAACCAATAATAGTCTCAGAAAAAAGGATGAAAATAGTAATGTAAATTTAAGATATTATTATCTGTATTTTACGATAAACAGGAAAACGTCATGTACTGTATCACACGTTATCTTCACCAGCAAAAAAAAATAATAATACATGGGCTGCAGAGAAATAAACTCGTGTCCTTTACCTTCATTTGAAATATAAAGTTTGCATGTGTTATACAATATTGAAATACATATGAATTTTATCTGGACCTGAAAAAAAAACATTGCATGTGTATAATGAATATATATGCAATTCTTCATCTTCAACTAAAAAAATACTACATGTATATTGTACTAAAATATATAAACCTTACCTCCATCTGAAAAACAAACAGTACACTACAACCATAAACCACATTCTAAGTGTTAGTTATATTTCTCATCAAACCTAGACATTGTGACCTGACCTGACCTAACCTGACCTGACCTTAAACAGCATTGATTTATCTCAGTACCTGACGTTATCACCGCGAGGTTTCTAGTACTGAAGGGTCAACAGTGTTAGTAAAATGCATGCGATAGAAAATATAAAATAAAAAATGTTCCGGCTGGAATCATGGCTCGGTATTTAAAATCTATCCCCACTTTATGAAATTACAAAATGATACTAATACGTTTATTAGTTGCTGTTTTTGTTTTTGTTTTTTATGTAACGTTATATATTGTGTTACTGGGCTTTCAATCCCTGGAACTATTTATAACTGTGAATGTACAAACTTCAAAACTGCACCCGCATTATAATGACATTTTACGTATCAAAAGCTGCATCCTATTATGATAACCTATATCTTTAAAACCGTCAAATTGTGTACTTACCATGTGCTGGTATCTCTTCCTGGAAAATAACAGAAATCAGTGTTAGAATCAAGGATTCATCAAAGTCTGTTAAATGTAAAAAAAAAAAAAAAGTAATTGAAAAGTTGTTCGAATATTTCAATTAAAACAGGAAGGTGGGGAACAGGGGGCACCCGGGGGCACAAAAAGCTATCTATAGCAGTGGCATGTCCAGGAGTTTGTCTGCTGAGCAAAAAAGGTAAGATCCCCCAAATATTCAATACTTTATCCTACTTTTTCTAACAGAGGATGACTAGAAAAAACATGCATCCACATCTTACCTAAAATATTCTTCATTTATAAGGGAATGCAATCTGCCCTTGCTGCCCCCACCCCCCAACTCTATCATCCTCTACATCAGCTATTCGTCCACAGACAGAATAACAGACACTGGAGCATCAATCAGCACGAGAGCCTATACAATATTCGTTATGTCAGCTCAACACAGAAGTAAATAATCTTCAGCTCAAAATGTGCTTCCTGGACAGTTATATCCTAATTTTCTCAAACCAACACCGTTAGTTTTCAAATCATTACAAATACAAGAGGATAATTAGTTACCATTATTACATCCTCAGTCTTACTCTTGAAGTAAGATAATATAGAGAATCTGAATAGATGTAAATAAAAAACAAATTGGTAAGGACTGTACTCACCGTTTCAGTGGTGGTGTGTGGTGGTGGTGTGGTGTGGTGGTGTGGTGTGGTGTGTGTGGTGGTGTGGTGTGGTGGTGTGGTGGTGTGGTGTGGTGGTGTGGTGTGGTGGTGTGGTGTGGTGTGGCGGTGTGGTGACACGGGAGATGTGAACATATAGAAGGCAAGCTTGTACCTAAGGTCACTGAGCAGTTAGGGAGCCGTCAGTACCTTGAGAACAAGACGTAGACTGCGTGGAAAATAAAACTGTACTGAGGGTTTTGTATCCTGATCAAGAGCGGACCCAGAGTACCATAAGAGTTAGGACGAAGTTGAAGGCTGTTACGACTAAAGGACCAATACTGTAGAACTAGCGCAAGTGAAGGACCATCAAGGGTGATACCTGAAGGGGACGACCACAGCTGCCTAGCGAAGATCAAAACACCTGATTGAATTTCCCCTTTCGTGATTACCCCTTACCACCTCATCCTCCCTCGTTACCTGTGGTCTTTCCTACCTGTCCTTTCCTAATAACCTGTGACATCACTTACCTGTCCTTTCCTAATAACCTGTGATATCACTTACCTGACCTTTCATAATAACCTGTGACATCACTTACCTGACCTTTCCTAATAACCTGTGACATCACTTCCTGTGACCTCGCCTACCTCGTCCTCCTGTAATTTCTCATTTGACCTCCTGCGATCCCTCTTCATCTATTCATAATCTCTAACCTGACCTATGATCCTTCTTCATAACCTCTGACCTCCTGTGACCTCTGTGCAAGACCTCTCCCTGACACAAACTGTACTACAACATCATTTTGAGCTGAAATTTTCTTTTTAATTAGATCTTATCATTATTATCTATATATATACGTATAATTATATGAACCCCACACCTGCCACACCGTTTAATATTAAATGTGTGTGTGGGTGTGGGTGTGGGGGGGGGATGTAAACAACTAATGGTCTCAATCAAATCG